TTCCGGGTTGGGTGGACTGAGCGGTCCGGAAGCGGCCCTAGCAAGTCGGTTAGCTACAGCTCAGCGGTTGTCCTCAACAGAAGCTGGCTATTCTTCTCCCACGGACGGTCAAACACACGTGGACAGTGAAGGAGCTAGTGTAGCTATACCTAGGCCTTGGCGCTTAGGTGAACTGGAGTTCGAGGCGATGATGCGCCACCTGGACAATGCCGGGTGTCGAACTGGACACTTGTATCGTCAGGTGAGTAATCCGCATTCTCCCTTCCGTTGGTTACCAAGTCAGACTCATGTGATTTTCTTTTTTTTTCATAATTTTCTGAATCTGAGCCTTTAATTGCGTTGCATGTTAGCTATTTTAATTCTATAGTTTTTATCACTCTATTAGTTCTATTGACATGATGCACGATACAAATAGTGGTAGACCAGTTTTCACCAAATTTCGATGGATATAGAGTTCGCTAAACGAACGTCACTAATGCGTATCCGTCTTTTATGGTTCACCTCCCCCACAGAACCTACCAGATAAGATTGATAAAATCTACTTCATCATTTCTGTTCATGTATGCAGTGATTTCGTCTACTTCTAGTTATATAACACTCCAACTATGTGCTGTGTAAGGTATGGAGCCCTCCACCTCAGCTCAAGCGCAAACATCCTATGCTTTTTCCAAACTCTTCAGTTTATGCAATCATCGGTGAGTAGTTAGTTGCTTTTTGTTTATCTCCTCGCCGCTTTCTTTCACAACAGGAAGCTATGGCCAGTCCACACCGTGTTCGTCGTGCTCGCACGCTGGATGGCAAAGGTTATACCAGTCAGGAGGATGATGTGCAAATTCCACCAGCAGCTTCTTCGATTACCGCCACAATGGCTTACTTCTATGATGATGGCGTTCTGTCTGGAGATGAAACTGAAACACAAAGACCCTCGTAAGTAGAAATAGTGTTTTTCAACTTCAGTGTGTCTCAACTGGTTACGTCTATTTTTTCACGCTAATTTCATGGATTCTGATGGTGAAGTGATCAGATATCCATTTTTATGCCATTTTAGTTAGTTTCCTTCGATCATTTTGTAGTGATTTATCAGTTATGGACTTTCCCCTGTAGTCGAGTTTTCCGTAATCGATTCCTTACAACCCGCGTTTTTCCGAACATCAATTTTACAAAGAACACTGAAACAATCTAACTGCCTTCTATTGTTACTGATTCACCTAAAGTAATGCGGTTAAGGACGTAGAAAACAAATATCAATCTTAAATTTATCATAAAGAGCAACCATCGTTTTTACAAGGGATTCATATAAAGAATGGATTTTCTTGCTGCTACTTTATATCAAAGCGAAACCACTTCTTTAAGTAATCTAGGTTGCTTGGAGGACACATGGAGCACATCACCACTTTCATTTCTCCCTCGTATTATCCTGCGTCTTCAGACGATAAATTCCGGCTTCATTGATTACAAAATTGAATTTTGTTGGGTCTTCCTGATTATCAAGTTTGCGATTGATTTATAGAGTCTACGTCCTTGCATCCTTTTATTTAGTGCAATTTGAATTTTCCCGCGGCCCCGTCGTTCATCAGTTTTAGAGATAATCTTATTGAATTTTAGACAGATGAGGTCACGGAAACCTACTGTTAGTTGTATAATTGACACCATATAGATTCCTGATCGAAAAACTTAATCCGCTCATCGAGGTGGTTTCACTTATTTTAAATGCTTCGATTTATTTGCTTATCGTGGTCCAGCTGTATCAAATACTTTTACTTTCTCTGTGTATTCTAGAACCTTACGCCGTGATTGGTCTCAAAAGCAGTGGTTCAATACACCGAATAAGTATACCAAAGAAGTAACTAAACCGTCTCCAGCCCATCAGCCTGTTGCCCGATGGGTTTCGGAACGAGAACATGCTATTCGAAAGGCGGTATCTAGCGGTGCATTACCACCACCAGCTCCCTTCCATCCACTTACGCCAGCAGCTGTCCCGTTGGGTAGCACAGGAGGGCCAGCAACAGGCACAGCCTCCGCCTGTGCGCCGTACAACACATTCGCTCCCCAAGGATCCAATCCGAAGGAGTATCGTGATCAACAGCGAAAGGTACGTGTCTCTGATGACGAACAATCATTTTATAATGCTGTGTCATCAAAACATCTACTTCTAATGCAACTTTTATTTCTGTGCTCAGGTGAAGTCGAAATATTACCACGATACAAATACTGCTGGACCGCAGTCGCGTTTGCTCGATGGCCTAACGTGGGATGAAGCACGGCGTGTGAGAGACGAGGGTCTTGTCAAAGTTTTGGGTCCTCGGGGAGCCGCTCTGGTTACCCAAGGTGCTGTCACAGATATGCCAGTGGCTGCTGCAAGTAAAGCCATAATTCAAAGAGATGTTCGCAATGCTGCAGTCATATACGACGTAAGTTGAGCTCGGGGTTCATCATTTGAATTTCTGTTCCACGGATGATTGAGTGATGAAGCATCTAACAACAAGCATCCCAACAACAAACACTGCACCACTTAGTTTCAATTGTATACAATTCTAGCCATTCCCCTGTCCCAGGCTGCTGGTCATTTCACCTTATTTTTAAAATTTTGTTTCTGTTTTTTAGGGCCTTTATTCTCACCAAAACCCCTTCGAGAAAATCACTGACGAAGAACTTGAAATGTATCGTAGGGAAATTGAACTGAAATCAAATCCGGAGCTAGCCATCGAGCTGGAGCGTCGTGGCATGTTGGCTGCCGATGGTACCTATACGCCAGCACAGTCTCCGCCAATCGGAGATAGCTTGGCAGTAGATAGCGGTGCCACCGACTTGGAGAGTGCTAGTGAAGCTGGTCCAGGTGAGGTTTTCCATCCATCATTTCTTGATTTTGTCAGTATTCCAAGCTGCTTGTTTCGCTGTTATTTTTCCCCTCTAAAGATATCGTTTGTAAATCTCTGCTACTTTTCCACGGCTGTGCAGATCACTCCGCTTCCGTACTTATCACTATCTGGTATTTCATCCTGTTTACGAACTCAGTTTTTTTCCGTAGTGCTCGATAATCAGCTGCCTTTCTTAGCGCGTTTTCCTCAAATACCCCCCCCCCCTGATTATTTACAACTGATAAATAGTCCGTAGGTTACAGAAATAGTTTATTTTGATATATTCCGTGTTCCTTGTCAAATCAGTGCACAACACTAGGCAAAGTAAAAAGCGAAAGTGTAGAACTGTCGTTCTTAAACCGTTGATGTGTCTAATAAATTGTGCTTTAAGATAATCACGTGGAACTGAGAGTAAATAGACAAACTCGGGTCTCTTCACAACTGACGATGTCCAGTACAACGTTGTTGCCAGGCTCTATTCTGATCAATCTCAATCGCATGTGGTAGTTATACATGGTAGCCCTTTTGAATCCACCCACTCAACTACTTGTGACTTGATTAGCTTTCACATAATATCAATACATCTGTCTGTTGCGTGTTTGTAAAATAACTCCTGACCATTTTACGTGCATATTTTATGTCCGTGATGTGAAATGACACCTTGGTGATTGGCACTATTTGTGTAACTACTATGATTTTCATGACGTCTGAATTATTCTGGCTATGAAACGTGGTAAACTCTTTGTAGTGGCGAAATCTGTCCCGAATCAGGGAAAATACATTTGTTTCAATCATACAGTCTAACTCGTATTTGGTCATGATTTTGATACTTATTTAAGTGAGACTTCACGATCATGTTTTTTCGAAGAGCTCAAATCTGTCTTAGAAGAATTCTTCGCATGGATTTTTCACGCATAAGCATTTGTCGTCGAGATGTTTGATTTAGCGAACGATCGCATCTGTAAACTACCTTTCTTCCTGGTGTTTTCCGCTACCGGTTGAATGATTATGCACACGTTGACTCCATTCACGATCGGACGCTTGTCTTGTTCTTTCTTTGCATGCCAATATGAGCGTCTCATTTTTATCAATAATTGACCTCATTTTTCGAAGTGATACACATTCGGTGCCACAGAGCCCAATCACATTTTTGTGCTGAGGTGCTCGCTCCCGCTTCAATTCAACTACTAATCCATATGTCTGGTTCGAAGTGATCGATAATTTTATTCACTGGTCAGAGTCACGATTCTTATTCGCGCTGGAATTGATCTGATGATGATTCATCTCCTTTCATACATTGATTTTGTTATTGTCTGTCCTCCCATCTGATACACTTTCCAGTTGCATGATCCCATTTTCTCATAATCCGTGCCTCATCAGTTTGTTCATGCATGTGCTTGATCTCTTCCCTTCTCTCTGATCGGCTTTATCGCGTTGACTTCTCGTCATGCGTTCGCATCCATTGTGTCACACTCCGCGCGCACTTTCACGTCTCTCATTCCCCCGTTCGCCGTGGACGTTGCCAATATCTGAATTTTTGACCAACGCTTTGCTGTGGACAATAAATCATGCAGTTCTGATGGATCCGTCTGCCCATTCCCCGCAAACACGCACGTCTCCGGTCGCCGAATCAGTTCAAGGGCGCGAGTCTCATGTGCAGTCTCCGCTTGAACAATCTAGTCCCGGTCGGTTGTATTCCCATATATCCCCCTTTCTGATTTCACAAATCATCGTAGAAACACATACAATTGCGTTAACTAGACCAGATAGAGAGTCGCAGTTTTGTAATTTTACAGAAACATTCACACCAGCACCAGATCGGATACAGCTATGTTTATATACATTCATACTAATCACTAGAGGGAATGCATACGAGTCCTGTGGAAGTTGAGTGATCCCAAAAGGGCTTTAAACCGTGAGATCATTTCATGTCTGTCCGGTTAGATCTCATATTATGTTGAACGCCGTCTAAATGGAACGTTTATCCATAACTCCGATTCCGTGAAACTGAGTTTTTGATTTGTTTAAAAAATACTTCTAGCTCACCTGGCACCACCAACGGGAACTGGTACTCTTACTTCGGAGCCCAGCGGAACGGAAGAGCACGGTGATAGCGAGGAGAAGTAAAAGAAAAAGAAAAAACGCTTCAAACTGCCATCCTTCTCACTGCGTTCGAAGGACAAGGCGAAGGACAGATGATTTTCTCCCCTTCAATTCCTTCACACCCACATGACTTTTCTCATGAAGTTGATAACAGTTGCCAATGCAGTTATCTCTACTATCATAATACTTCGGTTCTTTTCGAGGGCTGTGTTGTTTGGAGTTTCGGTTACCTGTGCTTTTTTTCATCCAACCGCTAATCAATAGGCGCAATCAGAAAAGGCGTTAAAACGGTCTACATACTCTCGATTATGACAGCGCGGAGCTTCTTCATCTTAATACC